ATAGGCAAAAAGACATGCAAGCAGCTAGTCAAGTCATGCATGTACTATGCATCTGCTTGGGGATTACAGATCTGAAGGAAATCCACCTGTTCACTATCAGCTTTATTGCAGTCATGACTGTGAGGTATAAATCTGAACTTGTGACCCAGGGTATAATGGCCCTGTTATGGACCTCTAGAATTACCCTTACTAACATATAGAGATATTGGAGTTTATCAAGGTCAATCATCCTGGTCCAAGAACTAGTTCAAGGTCATCAGTTGGGGCATGTAAACATGTTGTGGGAAGGGTGTCCTCAGATAACCCTGGACTTTTTGTTTGGGACTAACCACTTGTGTTTCAGGGGTGATACTTTTGTTCATCTGTGTTGGTAGTAATACGTCGTTCCAACACAACGAGTACACAGAGATCAAATTTTTAACGACCACTGTCACCTTCATCAGGATAATTACTAGTAATGACCAATCATTTCCGATGGTGTCATCATATATTGAATAAGATTAGTCCTCATGAATTTGATTTCTTGGTTCAGGAAAATAATTGGCGTGTGACTTAAAAATTAAAAAGATGCATCCTGTTTTAAACCCAATACTGTTTCAAACATTGAATTTTCAAATTTTTGTAATTATCAATGAATAAACAAGATTTCTTTCATGATTGTGGAACACAAAAAGTGACCCTTACTAATGGTTTATTGACACAAATAGGGAAAACTAAACAGTACTATCAGCATCACGTAGTCCAGTTAACTTTTACGCTACCCATGGACAGACCATTAAAAAAGGCGTTATGTTTAAAGGGAATTTTTGTGTGTGGAGGAAATCAGGTATGTTAAATTATGCTGATGCAGGCATTTTGTAAGATTTTTGAAATGAAAAACTGGTGATTGAAAAGTTGGAAGTAGATGCTTCTTTTTGGTAGTTACTAAGTACAACTGGAATTGCTCTTTATCTTATATGTGCACAGTATACTAAACTAATGTGTGTACATTGTATAATTATATTTCGACTACTGTAAATAAATTTAAGTTTGTGGAGCCTTAATTTTGATGAGCCCATCTCTGTCCTTCCACTTAAGTTCCAGTACTAAAATATATTCTTTTAAGCTGTCCAACCAAAGTCATTTGCACCTGAGCCAGGTGGGTAAAGACACTGGAATGTCAAGTGTCTTAATCCCAAGGACACATCTAGCTAGGAATAGAACCCCGGGCCTCTTGATTCTATGTCTGCTACTAGTGCTAGCCGAAGCACTTTGAAGGCCATCAACTAGCTACCATCAACCTACTGTCAAGTTAAATTTATGGACAATGTGGCCCTAGCTTGAGATGTTGTATTTGTCACTTAGGCATTAAGATGTGGTAATGAGCCATTGGGAGGTAGAGGTTTGCTGTTAACTAGGTTAAGGGACAGACAGCTAGTCTCTTACTAACAGTTAAATCAGTGTGGAATAGTAAGTGGTGCTGCATGTTCTGTCTTCTGTATATGATTAACTAGAAAGTCTGTCATGATCAGGTTCACTTGAGATTTGTCATTTCCTGCAAATTTCATAATATTATTATGTCCATTTAAGTTTATAACAATGTGAAATCCAATGTTGTTAATATACCTGTCATCAATTTCACAATAGTTAAAATTTTCTACTTGAATGACTAACCACAATGTGATACTACAATGTAGTATGAATTCTGTGTACAATGTACATGTAACGTTACTTGTTTATATTGACTGGCCAGGATACCTGACACTGGTAAATACAAGTTCCAAACATAAATGCTAAATGTGATTTCTGGCACACACTGTCTATCATAGCACCATGTCCATGTTTGCACTTGTTACTGTGGTGATATTGTAGAATGAGAGTAATGTGTGGACAGTATGGTAGACTGGAGTACAAAACCAGTTGATGTTGAAGCTGAATATAGAATAGATGAAAATTCAAGAATGGTAAAGATGGGTAGGAGATACAGAAAAAGTGAGTATCATTGAGGAAAAAGAGATTTGTAGCAAATATTATATTTAATAATATATTTGATGCTGTTGTCCAGTGTCCATGGTCAGATTTAAGCCAACATGTTGGCCAGAAGCTTTAATAATAGGTTTGTGTTTGTTTTTGATGTATCTGTGTGTGTT